ATATTTAATATTTAAATTTTAAATTTATTAATTAATATAATTATAATAACATATAATAAATTAATATTTTTTAATATTATATTAATTAATAAATTTATAATTTAATTATCATATTAAAATTTTTTAAAATTTAAATATCATTTTAAATATTTTACTAAGAATGACATTAGTCTTTAAAAAAATATATATATATATATATATCACAGTGAACTTATAAGGGAGCTTGATTTGACCACGTCAGCCACTTCCTATCATCCACAATGTGGAAGTGGAACCCACTATTTCGGCTGTTTGGTGTATCATATTCACCGACCTAACCAAACGCAGCTCAAATTCATGTTCTTAAAAAAATGTGAAAAGTATTAAGATTTAAGTTTTATATATTAAATATTATTTTATTAGTGACGGTAATAATAAACTGAATTAAATCTTTTGAGTTTCAAACTCAGCACTTTGCTACACATTGAACCGGTTTTATTTTTCCTGGTTAACCCATGGCCCCATCCTTGCCACAATGCCAGGCCAAGGTGAAGGAGTCCTACTCCCATGACTATTTTTTTAAAGGCTAATTCAGATTGCGATATCTTAGATTTTAAGAGAAAAATTAATTTAGAGAGCAAATGATATTGAAAAAAATATATGATTTTTGAGTTTTGTTAATTTAGAAAATATAAAATTTTTGTATTAGATTTACGAAAATATAAAATTATCTAATAAAATTTTTTATTTTATTATTTATAATAACATATAAATAATATATGATATTCGTAATATTGATATGTGACATATGAATAACATGTTATTTTGGTTGAAATTAAATAATTTTAAAAATTAATTTTTTATATATTTAATAAATATAATTTTATAATTTTAATTATTATCTTAATATTATTATTTTTACATAAAAAAATCACACGAATCGAATTTCGTGGTAAAGTTAGTAGAGCTCTCAAAACAAATTTTGTGTAATAACATTAAATAAATATGTTTTAGATTTTATATGTAATAATATTAAATAACAATATTTTACATTTTTTTTCATATTTTTTATAAATGTATTTATATTAGAAACATCATCTTTTCAACAAAAATGATATTTTTATCTTAGAAAAAATTACTTTTATTGAATTCTAAAAAAATTATTTTTTATATTTTCAACAAAAATTGTATTTTTTATCTTAGAAATATTATCTTTATTAAATTTTGAAATATATATTTTTTAATATTTTCAACAATTATTGCATTTTTTATTTTAGAATATCATCTTTTCAATAAAAATTACGTTTAAATAAAGATTGTGTTTTTTGTATGAGAAACATTATTTTTATTGAATTTTGAAAAATATATTTTTTAATGTTTTCAACAAAAACTGCTTTTTCTATATTAAAAATATAGTTTTTTCCAAAATCATTTTTTTATTTTAAAAAAGTCATTTTTGTTAAATTCTTTTTTTTTTTTCATGTTTACAATAAAGATTTTATTTTTATCTTAAAAATATTATTTTTTCAACAAAACTGTATTTTTACCTTTAAAACATCATTTTTATTAAATTTTAAAAAATAAAATTTTTTCATATTTTTAACAAGGACAACGTTTTTTATTTTAAAAACATTGTTTTTGTTGAATTATGAAAAAAAAAATTTATCTTTTCAACAAAAGTCGTGTTTTTAAACACAAACTTTTGCGAAGATTTCAATAAAATTGTATTAAAAACGTGATCTTTATTTAATTTATATCAAGAAAAAAAATATTTTTACAATATTTTATAAAAATTATTACTTTTTTAAGATAAATAACATTATTTATGTAATTTAAAAATGCAATTAAACAAAAATAAATGGGAAAAATTTTCAGTTCCCTCCTAAATCTTAAAAAACCTTAGAAGTTTTTGATTCGCTACTACTTCATTTTTTAACGTTATTGGAAATTTTAAAAATCCAGTAATTATTCAAGAAATCAAATTAAAAAAAAAAAAAGATTCTAAAAGGGAAAATTACTCTCCCAAGCAGATGTTCTCTAAATATTCTCATAAAATTTTGATATTTTTAATTAGGATCATAAAATTTTATGATTATGATTAAATCACATCAAAATTTCGTGATATTACCTAATTCATGAGATTAAAATTCAATAATCAAATCCACGCGATTAAAATTTAAGACGAAGAAGACGTCAGTACCAGGAAAATGGAAATTTAACAGAAACCAAAAGCAAATTGATTACAACTATATATATTACTACAAGTAGAGTAGTAGTACAAAGGACAAGCAACAAGCAGCTCAATTTGTTTTTTTTGGTCTGGGACCCCCGGTGTCACTAGTGAAGATGATAAGGATAAAGAGACGATGAATGGGGTTAATGGGATGGAAGATGACGGTGAATTCGACCCAGCTGCACCACCTCCTTTTAAGTTGGCTGATATTAGAGCTGCTATACCAAAGCATTGTTGGGTTAAGGACCCATGGCGATCTATGAGTTATATTGTAAGAGATGTTGTGTGGTTTTTGGTTTGGCAGCTGTTGCTGCTTACTTCAACAATTGGCTTGTTTGGTCTCTTTATTGGATTGCTCAAGGAACAACGTTTTGGGCTCTTTTTGTTCTTGGTCATGACTGGTAAGTCAGTTGCTTTTTTTTTTCTCGTGAATTCAGTTGCAGTTTGTCTTAAGGCAACTTCAAAATTGTTGCTTTAGATGTCATTTCTGGTTGTGTCACTCAGTTTTAGCACTTTTATCTGTCTGTGTCAGGATTTCTTACTCTTTTCCTTTTTTGGTTTTGAAGATTTTAATGAGATTTTTCATATTGAATTTGGACATCTGCATGTTTGTTTGGTTTTGTTTTTGCAGTGGTCATGGTAGTTTCTCAAACAATCCAGCATCGAACAGTGTGGTGGGTCATCTTCTTCATTCTTCAATTCTTGTTCCGTATGATGGATGGTTAGTTCCTGGAAACTCCCATTTGGTCCAAACTGATTCATTTCCCATGTATTTGAAGAAAATTTTTGCCATTTATAAATCCTTGTGCTACTTGTTAAGTAACTATTTTGACGATTTATGCGGGAGAATTAGCCATAGAACTCATCATCAGAATCATGGGCATGTGGAAAATGATGAATCGTGGCATCCGGTAAAGGCTGCTAATTCTTACCTCAGGAGAGAGATTTAGAAGTAGTTTTTCTTTTCAGTGACTGCAATTTCTTGCATCTACATCATTTGCTTTTGCAGTTGTCCGAGAAAATTTACAAAAGTTTAGATACTGCAACTAGATTACTGAGGTTCACCTTACCTTTCCCTATGCTTGCTTATCCTATCTATCTGGTAAGCCATACAATGCTTCATAGATTGAACTCATTTATGAACCAATGATTTGCATGTGCATCAATTTGTTTTGAAATGTGTATTTCAATCAACAGTGGGGTCGAAGTCCTGGAAAAAAAGGTTCTCATTTCCATCCAGACAGTGATTTGTTTGTCCCAAATGAAAGAAAAGATGTAATTACCTCCACTGCTTGTTGGCCAGCAATGGTTGGGCTGCTTGCATATTTATCTTTTGCAATGGGTCCCATCCAATTGCTTAAACTCTATGGCATTCCTTACCGGGTATGTTTTGTTCCTTTCTAGACGAATTTCTCTCCAGTTGCAGAGAGTTTCTTCAAGTCTTTGTTTTCTAATCCTAATTTATTTCCAGAATTCACATATAAAATGCAGATTTTTGTCATGTGGTTGGACTTAGTGACTTACCTACATTACCATGGCCATGAGGAGAAACTTCCATGGTACCGTGGAAAGGTATGAAAAACGTTTCTGCTAGACTATTGCTTCATAGTCCATTCCGGCTACAGCTTGATGCTTTACCCGGCAGAATTGATGGTTTGGCAATTGAACTGCCCTCTGTTTGTTAAACAGGAATGGAGTTATTTGAGAGGAGGGCTTACAACACTTGATCGTGACTACGGATGGATCAACAACATTCACCATGATATTGGAACCCATGTTACACATCATCTCTTCCCCCAAATCCCACATTATCACTTGATTGAAGCCGTCAGTATCATCTCTTTCCTGCATCAATTTACTGACAAACAATTTAGTTTCCCATACCTTTCTTATCTGCTAAAAATGTTTCATAAACTTGAATTACAGACTGAGGCAGCAAAGCCAGTGCTGGGGAAATACTATCGAGAGCCTAAGAAATCATGGTCTATTCCATTTCATTTATTTGGGATCCTCATAAGAAGCATGAAACAGGATCACTATGTGAGTGACAGTGGTGATGTTTTATATTATCTAACTGAACCTCATCTATATGGGACTGGCAAATCAGATTAAAGTCCTGTAAGTATTTCAAGCTTAAGAAATAAAATCCTACAGATTCTCGGTCAAGTATTTAACTCCTGAGTTCCAGCCGCGATTTGAATATGTAATGTGGCATTTGATAGTCATTTGGCCACTCGTTTTATTCTCTCTCCCAATTGATAAGAGCCTATGATGTTTTTCATTCAGGCTCTTCTGTGTATTTGAATTAGAGAGGACAATAGATATACTCTCTTTCTTTCGAGACGACGTATAAAATAATAGCTATACAAGTGAAGTGTATTTGAATTATGGTCCGACATGACAAATACAACAGCAACCATATGTTCACAAACATGCTGCTTTGATAGTTTTAAACTACACAATTAGCATGTGCATGTTCTAGGGCTGAAGATAATCATCAAGGAGAGGTATTAACATGGAAAGATAGTAGAATTTTGCTTTCACCATTCATCATGTCTTAAATCATTGGATATTCTACAAAACCATCCTACTACTTTGAGGGTGGTGTGTTAAAATTGCATGTCTGTTAAATTGACAAGCTGTCTTAAAAGTTATTATAAATTCACCTCAAAATTTGACCATATTCTTTCTGATCCTTGTAGTTCAAGGTACATAAATTGCACAGTCAATGTACATTAATGTAACCAATCCATGTCCGGGCCATTCAATTGCTATCAATGGATGGATGATCTCCCCACTTTGGATCAATCAATATGGTGCAGAACGTACTGCACTCATGAAAGAAAAAATTCGTGATCGATCCTTCTGAATACCATCTTGGGCACAAATACCGCTACTTACATCAACTCCATGAGGTCTGAGAGTACTAATAGCCTCACAAACATTATCAGGGTTGATTCCCCCTGCTAAAAGCCAGCCATGTTTGCTTTTAAATGAAGGTAACTCAAACTGATTCCAATTAAATCCTTTACCACTGCAAGTACATGCCAGAGCATAATATATAAAAGGCTAATGTTAACTTCAGCAGGAATAAATGCAATTCTTGTAATATAAGAAATAAAGAAAAAAAAAAAAGAGCTATACTCTGAATTTAAGGACAACAGTCAACAAGCCAGAATAAATTAATCTTTTGGTTATTCTTTGAGATCATTGCTACCAGCCCATCATATACCGGGAAAGAAAATCTAATCAAGCAAAGAAGTTGGACCTAGGAATAAATGCAATTCTTTTAATATAAGAAATAAAGAAAAAAAAAAAGAGCTATACTCTGAATTTAAGGACAACAGTCAACAAGCCAGAATAAATTAATCTTTTGGTTATTCTTTTAGATCATTTCTACCAGCCCATCATATACCGGGAAAGAAAATCTAATCAAGCAAAGAAGTTGGACCTAGGAATAAGTTGTATGGCAGGAAAAGGAACATTGTATTTGGTTTTTACATATTGAAAAGAATATAATATTTCAGTTTTTTTCAAAAAAAAAGTTTTTCATATTATACATGAGAATGCCAAATCAAGTTTTGGCCAAAGCTTGGACAAAATCAGTACGGCAAAAGCATAACAACTCTACAAGTTGGCCCATGGTGTTCTCGGTCCTACCATCCAGATCATAAACCAAAGCTTAAGGAATGAGGAAGTTGAGTGATTACATATGTTATTCAATTCACAAAGTCAAAAGATTTAATGATTAAAACCAAATTAGCATGAAATAAAAAAGGAATATGCATTAACTTTTTCTTATTCAAACCAATGGCACTTACAAATTAAACTGAATGAAGAAAAAGTTATTCACCTGCCACCTGTAGCACTATCCACAAGAATCCAGTCCACTAAGGAACAGTCTTCATCAGAAATTTTGTTTTGAAGGACTCCCTCTTGATTTGCTTGAAGAACATATATAATGCTCCTTTCTTGCACCAATTTTGGAAAAGCTGACCGAGAAACATCTCCATGAAGCTACATAAGATTGAAACAACAAGATTAGGCAACTTACTATGCTACAAGGAAGGTAATTAAGATTGAACAAATATATATACCTGCACAAATTCAAGCTCTGATGCATCGGAAGCTCTTAAAATTGTGTCTAAATCATCATCCACAAAGACTCCAACAGGCTTTGCCCCAAATTCCCTTGAAATTTTTGAAATTTCCTTTGCAACTGAGAGTGAAATGGAGCGTTTGGACTTGGGCCAAAGGATCATCCCAATAAAATTGGCACCAGCTTCTGCTGCAACAGCAGCATCTCTAGCTGATGTTATACCACACATTTTGACCAAAGGCTGATTCTTTTCATGATCCTCATCACAAGAGAAGACTTGGTTCAATTGTGCAATGTTGCATCTGATTTTATTCTTTGGGTATGACCAGACTCTTAAGGCCAGCAGTTTTCCTCCATTTGGGCCTGCTAATACAAACACTCTTGAGGAAAGAGGACACAAAACATTCAAAGAATCATCTGAAATCAGAAGTTACCAGTGATTTGCCTTCGTTGAAAGTTCAAAATTTTAGGCTGTAATTGACTTCCAGTAGTTAAACCTGTGTCAACAATGAATATAATTGTCAAAATGCAGATTATTAATCATCATGAAAGACATTGTTTATGATTTCTCAGGATCATTTAAACATTCATGTTGGTTGCAAATACATCAAATTTATAATTCAAATACACCAAATTATAGCTTTTCTGGCAGAATCAAAACACATTAATCATTGAAATACAGAGGGCCAAATCTACAATAAAATTAATCTCCCGGAGATAATAAGTCTATAACAAAGAATAAAAAGAAAAATTTTACATCAAAATAGAAAAATTTACTCAAAATTCATCAAACCAGAAATATCTGAATCAATCTTAAACAGAGAAACAGAGTGAAGCTGAAAGAAATAACCTGAAAACATTTTTTTTTTTTTTTTTTGCTGTTGTTTCGTTTGAATTCTGCTTTTCTTTGTCTAAAGCTGAAGCAAACAAGCAAAATTGTAAAAAGACAATTTCAAAGGAAACAATAATTGGGGAAAATCCGAGTCGATTTTCTGTTTATTGAAATGATAGGGTGAAAATGTGAAATCAACTTCTTCTGCGGTGTCCAATAGGAAAAAGAGAAAGTTGTTTCAAGCGGGATAGATGGGCTTTCAAAGACTCGTAAAAAGCCCATAATCTGAGCATTTAAATGGATTACAGTTCACAAAGCCAGAATATTTGGGTTTGGGTCAACAGGGAAGGACCTTGTCTCTTTGGGCTAAATGGTCCCTTTTGGGGGTTTGGGTCAGATCTCAGGGAAACAAATCTTTTTTGAATGTGTCAAGTAGGACTGACTCAGACCCATTCAGAGCATGTCATCTGGGCTTTCGAATAAGAAATTTAGTTAAAATGGGCTAGACTCGGATCCAATAAGCCTATCTATCTTAAAAGTACACTTCAAAATTGATTAAAATATTATTTGTAATAATATTCTATTAAATATGATAGTGGACTATAAATTTCAGTATACTTTAAAGAAGGTTCTTAAAACACTAGTTAGAAAATTGTTTTTTTGTAAAGATATCAAGAGAAAGTTGTTTGGATAAGATCAAACTCATCAAAAATAAAAATGTTTTAAAATGAAAGTAGAAAAATTCTTCATTAAAATCAAATTTTATTCCCAAAAGGATAATACTTTGTGGGTATGAAAAATTATAACCACTAATTATCAAAGTGAACTCACAATTCAAAAGCATCACGCCTTAATTCCACCTTTCTTCACTTCGCAAAAAAAAAAGCATGAAGTGGGAATCACACCACCCCCCCCCCCCCCCCCCTTCTCAAAAGAAAAAAAAAACAAAGGGACGAAATTAGCTGAGATTTCAATGGACAATTCACCTTTTGTGCTGTACTAAAAGCAATAAGCACCAGCAGCATCAAAGAAAGTTGTCAATATCCCGCGTGTTGCAAACTTATGATCGAGAATTGGTCTCGTGGTCGGCTCGATGACTAAAAAAGTTGAAACTCTCTCTCTCCTTCGTTGGAAGCCAAAGAACAAGGATGGGAATTCGGACCCCACGCGCATTCGGAGGCTCCATTAAATCTTATCCTTCGCATACACAAAAGTTTGAGCCTCCGGATATAATCAGAGGTGGTAAATGAATGGATTGAGGATGATTATTTTGGATTCTGATTAAGTCAGATTCAAATAAAAATATTTTGAATTATTTTGGTTTAAAATTTAAATTGATTCAAGTTCGGAGAAATTAGATTTACTTTGTATTTTATAATTAAAAAAGATAATGAAAAATATTTCAATTGAATTATTTTTTATTTAAAAAAATAAATTCAAACTTTGATCTTTAAATAAAAATATTATGTGAATTAATCAATGAATTAAACATTCGAATAATTCACTTAAGTTAATTTAAATATCTAAGTAAGGGTTAAATTGAGACTTAAAAGTTTTTATTGTAAATTGTTTAGAAATATTAACTTAATCTCAAGATTTGATTATATAATTTTTGTGATATTTATGAATTTACTATAAATATTGCAAATAACGATATTCTAGTATACTATTGTAAAAGATGTTTTCTAAAATTTAAAAGCACTATAAATTTGTGATAGTAGGCCAGTACAACAAATATGCAATGTTCAAAATTTCATAAGAAATTAATAGTATGAAAAATTGTAAATATAATGTGATTAACGTCCACTAAACAAAGAGTTTAACATTTAACAGCAGTAAAATAAAATTGTTTATTCAACTGAACATCGCATTCTAAAGTAGTACACTTTTAAAATTTAGTTTAGATAAATGTATAGAAAAGGATCAATTGTAAAATTAAAAAAAATTTATACATTTTTTAATTATTAATTTCAATAGATCCAGAGATTAAAGAGATAGGTAAAAGATAGGAAAAAATGATTTAATTTTATCCCTTAAGGCTACATTTGGCATAGGATTAATTGAAGTATAGGATATTAATCATTCTATCACATGTATGTTATGTATTTAAATAAAATGATTAAATTATTGAAAGGATTATATATATTATCTCAATAGGATAACTCTATCATTTGAAAAAATAAGGGATTATTTTCAATATATAAAATTAGATAAGTTATCAAAATTTTTAAGTAATAAATTTTCTATTTTACCCTTCAATTTAAAAACCTAAATTTCAAATTATCAAGTACTTGAAAATATTCTCTACTCTTCAATTTTTCTTCAAAATAAGCAAGTAATTTGTAATTCAAACTTTGATATTTTTTAAACTATAAGCTATAAGCTTTTTAATAATTTTTTAATATAAAATAATATATAATTTTATTTAAATTTAAATTTATTTATTATTTATTTGATATATCTATTTGTTTGTTGTAAGTATTCTTTTAAGCCAAAATTATTGAAGAAATTTATTAATTAAAAAAGTATTTGGGCAACTTTTAATTAATTAATAGGTTATCTCTAAAAATTTTTGAGAAATTATATTAGTTATGACTACATAAAAATCAAATTAATATATAAAGGGTAATTTTGATCAATAAAAAATATTATCCTATTCTAATCTTAATCTTGCACATATCAAACATGATAAATGATAAAATAATATTTTGTCTTGTTCTTAATCTTTACACACACTAAACATAACATAAGATGATGTAATTTAATTTAATCTTATCTATAATATTATATTATCCTATCCTATCATAATTGTATGCACCAAACATAGCCTAAATATATTAAAATCAATAGATAGAAAAATATGTAAAACTTTTTTAATTTTACACTATGTAAATTGATTCCTCCTCATATCTATATATATATATATATGTATATATATATAGAGAGAGAGAGAGAGAAAGTTTATATTTGATACACTGTAAGTATATAAACTTTATATACTATTAGTAAATCAGATGATGACATCTCATTAATGAGTAAATATTAGTTTTTAAAATAAATATACAAAAATTAATATTTTTTTAAAAAACCTACCATTAATAAGGTGACATTATCTGATTCACTTTATTAATGAAATAGCATCATTTTAATTTACTGATAGTATATAAAATCTATATATTGATAATGTATCAAATATAAATCCATATATATATAAATATATAGTATATACATATATATAATAGATATCCATATACAGTAGTGTAAGAGTTATATTTTTTTTAATTCTTGGATCAAAATTAAATCTATAACACTTACATTTAGAGACGGTTTGTATGAGATGATTTGTCTTAAAATTACATTAATATGCATTTAGTAATTATATTACCTTATTTGGTAGTAATTTAAAAATCCTACTTGATAGTAATTTTAAATTACTAGGGTGATAAGATCAATTGAGGAGTAATATGATTTTAAACTTAAAAGATAGGAAAGTTTTATCACTATGAAAAAAGTAATTTTTAATAAAATTTTTAACTAATTTACATTGATGAAAGATATACTTAACATTGCCTTAAAAAACTAACTAATAAAATTTTAAAAAATATAATTTTCTAATAACACATTTTAAAAAAGTTTTCTATTACAATTGAATAAATGTTTATTGATTATAAAAATAATGAAACTATTTAATAATTTTTTAAAAAATTATGTTTCATCAAAATTGATTTATATTTTATAGTTTTCTATAAAATAACATTTAATTATTTTGTAAATTATTAATTCAATAAGCATTAAATTTTTTGCTTTCTTTTGCAAGGTTATTTTGGATATTAATATTCTATGAGTTATTTTTTCATATAATACTAAAAATAATGATTTAAGATCACTAGTGATTTATAATATTATACCAAATATGGTAATTTAATATTAATTGTGATTTATAATATTATAACAAATATAGTAATGTAAGATTATCGACAATCAAATCACCTTGGTGATCTTATTACTATGGTAATTACATCACCATGGTGATCCTAAAAATTATACCAAACATTACCTTAGTGAATTTAATTCAATGGTCAAAAAATATATAACTCTTATATTAGTATAAGTGGATCCCTCTTTATATATATACTAGTCAAGTTTTGGTTTCATTTTTTTTTTTTTGTTTAAGATAATATTCTATCGAATGGATATAATTATACATTCTACCAATTGAAAACTTAAATTTTCTTTTATTTGGCAATTTTTATTATATACAAAATTTTATTCTATAAAAAAATTGAAATAAATACTTTTAAAAATCAAAATTAAATAAAATAAATTCCTAACCTTCACACTCACCATTTTTTCTTTTTAAGAAAATTTCAATTCTTAGAATAACAAACTTATTATGTAGCACCTATATAATATATATTGATTTCATTTTCTACTTTAACAACATAAAATTTTATGAACAAATGTAATTTTGGCATAAATACACTCAAAAGATAGTTCTAATAAATTTTGTCACACTTTGAAAGAATTCACCAAAAATAACTTATTTTAATTCAAAATTATCTATTTAGAATAATTTACATTAGGTCATTCAACCACCTAAATATCCAAAAAAATGAGTAATTTAATATAATGGAGAAAAGGAAATCATCTTGAGAAAGGAATTAATTATATATATGCACATTAAGATAAAAGTTTAGATAAAATTAAATCATTTATTATTCAGCTAAGGTGAACATTTTTATGACAATTTGGCGAGACTCATTCCCAAGTTAGTTGTATTCCACCTCTTCTTGAATCATTTAATTATATAGGTGAGAACTCTAATTAATTTATTCAATGAATCACATAATGCTAATTATTAATTCAAGATGTGTACATTAGTAGTAAACCATCGATAACTTATCATTTAATTAATGATAACTTAATTGTAAATCTTAGATAATTTAGTATATATAAATGATAATTTGGTAATGAATCATAAATAATTTAACTGCAAATAAGTGATAATTTTGTAGGAAATAATTGAAAGTTAAGTGGTAAATAAATTATAATATAGTAGTGAATGTTTAATAATATTATAATAAATCATTGATAATTTAATAATAAATTATTAATAACTTAATAAATCACTAATAATGCAGTAGTAAATTACTAATAACATAGCACTAATCATTAATGATTTAGTTATATATAAATGATAGTTTAGATATAAATCATTAGTAAGATAAAAACTGAAAGAAAATTAAATCACTTATTGTTTCAGTTAAAGTGAACAATTTCGATGCCAATTTGGAGAGACCCAATCCTAAGTTACTGGTAACTCCACCATCTTTTGAATCAGTCAATTCTACAGGAGGAAAGTTCAATTAAAATATTCAAAGTGTTCATTGAATCATATAGTGCTAATTGTTGGTGAAGGGTGTGTAATTGATTTGTATTTGATTTAATATTGGCTTTTGTTCATAAGAATAACAATTATAAAATTCTAGAGAAAAAATATAAAAGAGAAATTAATTATAGAGTTTAAACTAAACTATAATAATGATATATATTAAAGAATTATTTCAATGGACTAAAAGGATTTGATTGTATTATCGATGATCAAATGATCAACTCGTAAAATATACAAATAATAAAATCATTAACATAGATATATAGTTAGCAAATCAATCAAAATAAAAAATTAAAAGGAAAAAAATTAAAAAAATGCGTCAATGACTTAATTATAATTATATATTTTTAATTAATTTATTTATCAATATAAACTGCATGTGCAATTTCTTTTACAACAAATATAGAAACAAACTCCATATAATTGTTTTATTCATATACATACTACTAAATTTTGATCTAATTTTATTTGTAATTTTTGTTTCATGTGAAAAATCAGTGTCTTATTATGAGTTTAATTATAAAAAGAAATCTACTAATAGAAAAGAAAATTCATTTAAGTTAAAATTTATAACAAAATTTACTTATGGTATTTTAATCAATCACTTTAACATTTTAAAATTAAAATTTTATTAAAGGTATTTTAGTCAATCATTTTAACACTTTTGAATGTAATTAAAAGAAGTATAATAATAAAAAAAGAAAATTCATTTAAATTAAATTTTATAAAAAAATTTATTTATAATATTTTAATCAATCACTTTTAATATTTTAAAATTAAAATTTTAAAATTTCAATTTCATATAAACTCTGTTTTTAATTTTAGTTAATTTAAATTAAACTTAAATAAACAAACAATTAAAACTTATATATTTAAAGATAAATTTCTTCATTAAATATTCATAGGGGTTTTTAGATCGGTTAATTTTAACACTTTTAGAATTCACACTTTTATATATAAATATGTATTTTTATTTTTTTATCTATATCTAAAAAATGCTAAAAATAATTTATCTAAATATCTTTTTTAGATCAAATCAAATTTGGATAAATTTATATTATATTATATATATATATTGATAGATAAATAGATGATATATCTTTGATTTTTTATTTTTAAAAAGTAAAATTATGTATAATTTAATTTGAATTATTTGAATTAAATATTTTAAATGATTTAAATTCGAATCAATTCAAATTTGAATTAGGTCAAATTTGAATTAATTTAAAATCAATTTAAATTTGAATTATTAACTTTTTTATCAATTCGGATCAATCAACTTTAAATCCAAGCAAGTCAAACAGATATTTCAAGTCAGATTGACGTTTATTGCATATTGATAGTTGGTATAAACAATGGCCATGGCAACTTGGAGGATGGGTATGGGCATTGGGGGCAATGGCATGGTGAGCTTGAACTTGACAGCTAGCATATTCTAGTTCGATGATTTCAAAAATGAAATATGTTAAATATCCTATTCTGACTCTCCTATTTGGCTTATTTCCCATTCACTCAATCACAATATAATACCTGAAAATGCTCCCTTCAAATCGTCCAGATAAAAGATTAGATTTAAGTAAAGTCTGAAGGTATTTATGATCGTAGTAAAAAAAAAAAAGAAAATATAATATCTAAACAATGAGAAAATAAATAATACAATGAAACTTTAAATTAAGTTTTTATCATTTTTCTAGAAAATATTGGTAACTAACAACCATGTCATTGAGAAGTAACGGTGGTCAAGACTACCCAATAGGACTTAAAAATACATCTGTATACATAAACTCAAACAGACAACTAGAATTGAAGGACCGCTGTGTAGCTTTATGAAAATTAATCGTTCTCTTCATATATGGGGGAAGGAGCATCATCCCAGAGATTTGATCAAATAGTAATCCTCTTGTTTGATGTAGTCTCGTTATGGTGTTACAGTGGAATTGGCTTCAATGAACCAAAGCAAGTTTAAGCTCAGGTTCTTCTTTAAAAAGCAATGGAACAGCAGCCGCCATGTACAATCTAATCTTTAAAGATAGTTTTTCTAAGGTTGGACATTTAACAGAAGATAATAAGTGTCAATACACCACAACGTGTCATATCAAGATAAATTACATAATGGAAAATATGAGTCATTGATGAAGGGCGGTTTCGTTCTAAAATCACAGAATCTGAATCTGATTAGAGATATTAGGTAACAAACAAGCACGTTCTCTGTCAATGATACCCATAACTTCTACCTGCTAAATTCATAGAGAATAATCCCTGAAGGGAAAAGAAAAAGAATTAAGAATATGAAATAATCAATAAATTTTTTTGTTGATTGGTCCATCTTTCTTCTAATTCTAACATGAGCAGTGACTTAAACCTTCCTGCCCAAATATGTTTGCCTCTTGACTGACTGGCAGATATATTACCTTCAACCTTCTACCAACAATTACAGGTATCAAATACTACTAAGATTCCAAGAATATGATATAAGTTAGAATTAAGCTATGAGCAAACGGTTCTTTCTTATGCCACCATCTGCTCCTGTTCTATGCACATTTGCTCCATCCATGCTGGAAGTGTTTCTCGAACACCTCTACCAAGACGGTGTTGCTGTTGCTGCTGCAACCCACCTCCCAAAGGAGTAACATCTTTCACAAGGGAATGAACCCAGGAAACATCTGGCTCATCAACATCAGATGGCATCATGTTTGTTGTTGCTGTGGCGGCAGGATTGTTGTTTCGAAACCCAAAGGAAGCAGACTTCCTAAGCTTGTTAAGCTCATCTCCTTGAATGCCCCAATCCAATTTCCCATCAGGGGAGCTCCAATCAGAAATATTTGAAGACATCATAGTTGCCGAGTTAGCAGGTGCAGTAAGTCCAGCATGACTGATCATTGCCCCACGGTCTATAAAACTTTGACTCCGTTTTGCAAATGCAGAAGACCTGCAATTCATTACTGCAGGCACAGCAGCAGATGAGTCAAAACCAAAGGCTGAGGGCTTCCTAACCGGAGATGATGAAAGGTTTGTTGGGTAGCCTGCACAGAGTTGGTTCAAGTTTTGGTGAATTTGAAGCCCTGTTGGAGATTGGAATTGGGTTGGTATTGCAGATTTTACTGACAGTCCCTTCAAGGGAGACAGCAGAGAAGGATCGAGGGATCCAAAAGCATCATCAAGATTAGTAGGCTTCAAATCCCCAAGCCTACTGTATTCCTTACTCCAGCAAGACGGGGAGGAGAGATTAGATATCTCATCCATCAACCCAAGTAATTCCATTTCCGTATCAAAATCTCTGGCACTAAAAGCAGTCTTCAAGCGGCTACCAGGTAGCTGCAAGGCAGGTGGGGTGAGGTTAATTTTGTTCTGCCACAAGCCTCCAATCTTTGGAGAGGAAGAGGCAGCCAAAGGAGACATGGGTGGTGTTGAAGCAGTAGGCAGTGGCAAGGAAGGTGAACCAAATGCTAGAGGGCTCAAAGTTGCCATGTCCACTGCATTGACAGCAGCAGACCTAGATGGTGAAGGCATGGCTGAACCGGTGGAAGCATACACAGTGCGCAATTCTTCAGGTTTGTGAGCAAAGAAACAGACTTTGCGTGTGCAGCCGATCTCATCTTTGCAAAGTCTTGTTCGGTACTGCGCAGGATGCAGCCAAGATTCAAAAACACCATGTGCATATTCACAAGCATCACCCTTAGGGCACGCCCCTTTTCGGAACTCTGGGCACGGCACACAGCTATAAGGGTACTTCCTTGGGTCCCTCCTCCTAGCATTCTCACCAGGATGAACAAAGGGGCACTCGGTCCAATCATGGGAGTATGCCCTTGAGCATGGCTTCACTTTAAAGGTAAACATCCTGAAGTCATCGGTTCCATATATCCCGTTGTTGATATCAGGCAGTGATACATCGATAGGATATTCTTTCTTCTCAGATCCTTCTTTCAGCAACTGAGGCAGAGCTGTCTTTTCAGATTCTTCTTCCTGGTTAAGAACATGATCACTAACACCAACAATATCATCACCGTTCAGTAACAAATCAATCACCTTTCTTCTTGTATTACTCAAAGATTTTAAAACCGGCACAATCAGATCAATAGGCTTGTTCCCATTAGCATCAACACAATTAGCATCAGCAGATCCATCAAGCAACAGCTTGACAATCTCAACGGAAGAATTCGAACCACCAGCAACAGCACAATGAAGGGCAGTAACTCCATCAGTAGCAGAAGCTCTATTCACATCAATCTTGCCACTTCCAATGATGTATTTCAAAACGTCAACGCTACCAAACATGGCAGCGATTATAAGAGGCGTCCTCTCTTCAAACCCCATCTTTCTTGACCCCACTCTTCTACCATACCAGAAGCTTGCCTCGTTAAGATCCAAACCTTTAGCTTCTACTTCAGTTTTAAAGGCCACCAGATCATCAGAGGCAGCCAATTCAAGCAAAACTGAGCATTTACACAGATCACCAGCTTTAAGCTCCTGTAATTCACCTTCCATGATGAAAGTTGAGGGAACAAGTTCACTCTTTGAACCGCTGCACATCCCCAACAAGCCCTGCATAGTTATTACAGCAACAAGAGTTCAGTTTCTCACTCCATAGCAAAAATAAAATAAAAACAAAACATTCTATAGTGCTGCTAGACCAAAGTACAAAGAAATCTTTATGGGTTTTACATACAATTTAAAAGAAACACAATTTTCATTTCTTAGGACCTGAAAGCAAAACAACCCAACTCCAAAACTGAAATTCTTATAAAAAGCAATTATTTTTATAACAAAAGCAAAATAAAAAAATAAACCAAGAATTTTCTGTCACATGTATACCTCAATTCCAAATACTACAAAAATTCAAACATAACATACCCTTAACGTGGAAACTATGTTCTAAACCAAAGAGTTGGTCTGTACTTCTTCCTCTCAAAATTTCACAGCAAAAATAAAAATAAAAAATCAAAGAGCCAAAATTCACAACTTTTGACCAAAAAAAGAAACCAACAGACAAAAACTATTAATTCATCAAAAAATAGACAAACATACATCAAGTTACTTTTATTAAACAAAACACGAGAATCAAAGCCAAATTTTAAGTCTTTCTACCTATAAGCAGTCACTGTTGGAGAAAACAAAGAAAAGAAAAGGGTATTGGTTAAAAAATGGAAAGGATAATAGTGCTGGATTTGAAGAAGTTCTAAGGAGAAAGAAGAGCGAGTTGAGAGCCTTTTTAAGTTAGGGTGGTGTTGGTTTTAGAGGAAGAAGGGAGGAAAGTGCTACCGTTTTTCGCGTGCCTTGCTGTGTGTTCAAAGTCAAAACGTCAGAAGAGAAGACCTTAGCTTTTTTGTCTCTCAAGCGGGAGAGAGGGGGAAGGGTCCCCTCAGTTTTTACCTGTAATCAAAGACGAAACAAAAATGAAATTTGTAATGAAATGCAAATGCAAATGAAACATCCTCAAGTTTTTGAAATCCAGACTGGTCGGCCGTCAGGTGTGCGTCAGAGGTTGGATTTAGCTCACGCGCTTTATATTGTCTCAATCTTTTTCTGTTGTTAGTATTGTATCTTGATTTTTGAATTTATACATACAAAATAAATACGTAATTAATACAATAACAGGGGAAGAAGTGAGTAACTTGAAAGTGGATTACTTTTTCGTACACAATTGATTTTTAAATTTTATAAATAAAATTTAGATATTATTATATTTTATTTATTATATTAATTTTTTAATTTTTTAAATATATCATAACAATACTCTAATTTAATTGGTTGACTTAATCAAATAAATTTTTTACGAAAATCTATGTACTTTTTATTTATTACAAGTAATTTGGAAAAATAAAACATTTGAAATAAAATTATCAAAAGATTCTAAAGATAATTATTTTTCTTTTTTAAAATAAAAAGTTGGTATAAGGTCATAAATCATAATTCATTTTCTAAATAAAAAATTAACATACTTTAAGGTTTAATTTATTGAACACTCGTCATGTTTTAAAAAATTTTATATTATTTAAATATGAAGTTTTTACTTTTATAAAAAAAATTAATTTAATTTAATTTATTTTTAATTATTTTTAAGAGATGATTAATAGTATATTTAAGTTTTAAATTTCAATAAATGTAATTTTTTATTTTAAATTATGACATTATTTATAAAAAAAAATATTTTTATTTTTTTTTTAAAACATGAATAATGACAGTAAAAAAAAGAAAAAATCATTTGTATTAAAAAGATAAATTAAGAAACATAAAGAAAAATCATTTGTATAAAAAAGATTAATTAAAAAACAATGTAGTCTAATCTGCAGCCTGTATCATAACATAATGTACCAATTGAAAACCTTTAAAATCACCGTTAACTTAATTAAAATGATAAAGCTGAGGACAATAAAAAATGTCAATAATACAACTTTTGATTCAAAATTTAAACGGCGTAAAAACGGGCACGTGAAGATAGAGAGACAGTAAAGAAGTAGTCACTGAGAGGTGTGAGCAGGTTACAGACAGAATAAACCCCAATTGGGTTGGGTGGACCAAAGGCGAGGGAGCGAGCGAGAGGTTCCAAGCTGTAAACGAAATGCTCGCTAGCTGTAACCGAGTCAGTGAGCATCCCGTTTACGCGTTTCCCTTCCATTTAGGTGGGTGACAGGATATGCTCAAAATTGATTACTTTTTTTTTTTTAAGGAACTCACACGTTAAAATTTTTTTTTTTATATTTATTATATGTGTGAAAATTTTTTAAAAAATAAATTTTATATAATAAGTAAATTATTTGTTTTATTTCTTATTGATTCAATTTTTTTATGATAATAAATTTTAATTTTATTAGTTTACTTTTGATGGAGTAAAAATTTTATAATTTATAATTTATTTAATTTAAATTATTTTGAATTTAAATGTTTCGAATTCATATTACATTATATTTAGTTTATATGAGTTTTAATTGTTTTTGTTTAGACTATTTTAAATTCAAATATTTTTATTTTTTTGTTGATTTAAGATCAAATTATGTCATTTTAAATTTCATTTTTTAATTTAAAATTTTGAGATTTAAGATTTTTTATTATTTCATGTTTGAATTTTATTTATTTGAAGAAGTTTTTCAAGTTTGAATTCATTTTGTTATTTATAAAGTCGATAGGTGTTAATAAGTTCATGTTAAAATTAATTAAATTTTTTTAAGAAATTATTTTAATGTAATGTACTTTTTTATCAAATTCAAAAAGAAAAATACTATACTACTAATAATAAGTTTTTTCTATAAATAACATTTCAACATTTTTGGATTATTATATATTTATTAGACTTTATTGTAAATTGGTTGTTAATTTATTGGTGGTTGATTTTTTTTAATTTTTTGGGCACACCGAAAATGCTGACCCTTTGGCCAATGGGCTTTGACTTAGAACGAATTGTCTGTCATGTGACTATACAGTTCAGGTTTCTTGGATCATGTGACTGTATTGTTGGGATTCCAAAGCATGAGCTTGCCAAGATCTCATCTGGTGTTTGATGGATATGATGATGAGATATTGAGATCAAGTATTTTAGGGCATCAGAGAATTTTTTCTTTTAACCATAATTTCTAACGGTGTCGAATGTGGATGTTTAAAAAAATTTAGGACTTAGAAATATTTTTAGATATAAAAATGTTCAAAATATGGAATAGAATCAAAATTTACATTTTAATGCTCTAGAGGAAAGTAAGAACTTTTAAGCCAAATATGAGTCATTCCAAAACCGTAAATGTTAATTTTTGGTTATCAATTTTACATTAAAATCTTAAATTTTAAAATTTTTTGCTCATGTAAACAACTTTTTATTTAATTGAGGTTTATAATTGTGAGGTCTTTAAAATTTATATTAAGAAATTTTAAATCCTTTATGAGATATAAATAAACACTTGAATTTAGTTTTACAAAATAATTTTTTGAACAAAATCATGGAAATCTTTATATCAAAATGAACAATAATTTAAAAATTCAGTGCAAGTATTTATAATAATGAATATTTAAATTAGGTTTACATAGTTTATAGAGATTCTCACAATATTAAACTTTTTTTAATATATGTAAAAAAATCAAAATTTGATTTATAATCATTAAAATTAAATATTTAATACTTTACCAATCAACCAAATCACATGATTGATATATCCACAATATTAAACTTTAGACGGGTAAATAAAATACATTACCAAAATGAGAAAAGAAGAGGTAAAAGCCAAGACTATTGTTTCTCTCCTGCCTTTATTTATTTGTTTTTCTTAAAAAGAATGAAAAGGAGAATACAACAGTTACAGGATTCAAGCACGAATTAGGGGCGTTTAGTTTCCTAATCCCATTTTCGAACAATTATTTTGAACTTGTGCCGACGAAAAACAGATAACAGCAGTGAAAAAAAATAAAAAAGACAGATACCGCAGTCAAGCCGTACCTAAAGAAAGAGAAAGAGTTTATTATAGCCGTCAAGAACGGTTTTAGGTTGTCTCCTCTGACATATCCAACATTTTTATTTTGGCATATAGATCAGATAAGGTGGTTGTCCTTGGTAGATTGACTACGCAAAATAGCTAGCAATTGCATCGTTGGAATATCCGAAGAATTGCATTTAATTCAATTTTACGTACTCAAGAGAAAGATACTCTATGATTAGAAATTAGAATTTGAAATGTTTGATTGGAACATTGTAAGCATATCGATTCGATATGGATTAATGTAAAATTTGACACGATAGAGCATATAGATATTGAATTTTATTAGTACTTCAATTTTGTTGAATTTATCATTATTTTTTTAATTTAATTAATTTTTTAACATAAAATAATCAAAAAATGATAATTTTTTTGTTTAAAAAAAATAATTCAATTTCATAACATTTTATTTAAAAATTAACAAAATTGAAAAGTACAATGATAAAATTTACCATTTACATATAAAATTTTCAACTCCATTTTTTTGTCAAAAAATTAACAAAATTAAAATATAGCGATACAATTCAATATTAAATCATAGTATAGTCACAAATTTAGCTTTAATTCCATTTTTTATTAAAAATGAATGAATAAAATTATAATATCGAAGATTGTTATTATCATTTTTGTAAAATTTGGTACCAAATAAACCTCTTAACATTCAAAGTAGCAAAAAAAAAAAAAAAATAGAGAATAAATACGTCGGTACATACTTTCAATCTTCTAAGAGCTAGTTTGAATAATCGATTTGCGTCTGTAAAATAAGATTTCTCTTATTTTTTGTTCAAACAATACTGTTGAGGTGCTTGGATAACACCGATGATACACCATAAGTCTCCATTTAACCACTGAAATTAAAAGGTCCAATTAAAAATTTTCCTTTTCATTGCGCCTCTCATTCTATTTTTGTCTATGATTTCTTTTTTTTTTTCCCCTCAAAGTTCGAGTGATTTTCATGTTATTTAACTTTTTATTTTTTGATTTTGATTTATTATTAAAAAATTTTAAAATAATTTTATTGATTTATTATAATAAATAAATTTTATTATTGTAATAAATAATATGTATTATATTTTGATTGAATAAAAATTTTAAGATTTTAAATATTATAAATACTATGAAAATAAATATAAAAATAATTTATCGATACAATTTCAAAGTAAAATCCTTAATGGTTATTTTCTATTCTCACCTTATCATTTGTCCGTCTCTATTATTTCATTTTCTAAATATATATCTTACTAATGATTTTAATTTTACTATTATAATAATTAATCTCATCACCATTATTATTTTTAATCTCATCAAAATTAATCTTATTATCCATCTAAATAGATCTACATTGATGGAGAATGTAACATTAATTTTTCAATTAGCTAACACAACCATCTTAAATAAAAAGCAAAGAAAATGTATATATTAGCATAAACCTAGAGAAATGAAAAATGGATTAATAGTTTTAAGAAAGATCAAGAGATCAAGTAAATCAAATTAAATATGTGGGACAACTTTGAAATGGCTTCAATTCTTTTAAGAATAAAACTCATAATTGAGTATTTTATTTGTTAATTTACTAATTTAGTTATGATTCTATCCAATGTAAGGGCATTTACATGTTAAAGGATTTCTTTTTAAAGGAAAGTTTTAAAATAAGAGTCTAGTTCAGTTAATTTATATAATCATCTTTAAAAATTAATAGTTATTAAATTTAAAATACAAATTTTAATATCTTTTATAAAAAAATACTTTTCCAATTCAAATCCTTTTACCACACTAATGACATAAATATGAAACCAAATTCGTCTGAACTAGCTGAAGTCATACCAGACAAGCAGTTTGTAAGTAATCCTTCAGCTGATATTGGGCTTGGCCTAAACTAAGAACTCTATCGTAAAATGGTTCATTAATTCCTTATCTTTGGGTTAACCCATTGTCATTCTTGCAATACTATGAGAAAATAATCAATCACTTTTTATATGAATAATATATATATATTATATAAAGATTAACTTACACAAAAAAGTTTTATATTTTTTTACTTTTTTTTAACTATTAATTTTA